ACAACATAATCCTCCGTACAGGAGAAGCCCAAAAGGAAAAAAAATTGAAGGTCGCAGTGAACATAATTACAAATGAAACACAGAGTGGACAAGGTATCAAATAAAAAATGGTTAAGGATGGCGGAGTGCTCTAAGAGAGCAAGTCGGTGGAAGTAGGACGAAAAACAAGAATCTTTATACCGGAAAAATGTTGGGATAATTATAATAATAATGTACATTTCACAAAACCCGTGAAGCATGCACAAGGCATGATCATATGTTCAAAATAATCATATGTACAGCGACAGTACAGGTAAATAGATAAACTACTTGGAAGACGTACATACTGGAGATGGTAGGGAAGCAGAACGAAAACACTGTGAAAACGGAACACAAAGCGGACGAGGTCACAAACGTTGGTGTGGAGGATGGAAGAATGTGCTGTATAAGCAAATCAATCGAAATTGAAGTAACTGTTACCCCGTTATCGTGGGGAAACGGAGTGCGGCTCTAATGGGAGAAGATACGGAGAGACAAAATGTCGGACAATAGACGGGGATAATGAAGTCACGAGGATATGAATAAATAGGAAGGAGTACAGCGAGTTCATACGTTTGCCAGGATGCGGACGCATGCAGACAAAACCATCGAAACAACCATGCCCAGCATCCACTGCCAGGGCCAAAATTTTGCATTGTGGGTTTAGACTCCAAGCCTTCGACAGGTCCAAGCCAACCGAATCTGGAACAAAAGAGTCATACTGAACAGTCTTGGGTAATGCCCAGCTGAGATGGGATAAGGGAAGAGACAGCCTGTCACACGTCAATCAGCAAAGTGTAATAATAGGGATGGCATAGGCCAGCATATATACTTGTATATCTGCAGCTAGGTAAGCACACGTAAAAACAATTAACAAACCGATGGGCGTGGAGAGAAATAGACACACCAAGTATGGCCAAAGCACTCGAGCGATATCGGAGTGAAGAATAGTTCTGTTGATGAATAAGTGGTCACAATACTTCTCAGAGTATGCACCAGGTTGGAATGTGTTCCACAGATGCAGCTTTAAAACTGAGTTGGTGTACTGACAGAGGTTTTGTTTACAAAGTGGTCACAGCTACCTGGTTTGCATGTTCCACGAGGTTTAGTCAAATAATTCGAGCGAAAGCGAGGTGCGGAGTAGTTACGGTTGTGAACAAGTTATAATAATTTCTAGGAGTTACACGGATATAGCTCTGATCCTGAATCGGTGATGGAAGCAAGAGTGAAAATGGAGGAGCTTAGGATAACGTGGCTGAAGTTTAGAGACATTTAACAGGCAAGATACCAGATGGATGAGGTTCCTGTTGGAAAGTTTGAGGGATGTTAGGTGTTAATAATCGATGGCGTTTTGAAATGCCAATGCTTCGTTGGTGAAACTGTGTATTTGAATCATTTAAATCAAAGTTAGAAATTTTCCAAGCGTTCCTTAAATAGTTTGTTGTCTGTGGTTAGTCTTATCTTGACAGGAAGCTTATTCTACAGACGGGAATAAGTTCCTAGGAAAAACTTTCCCCTGGCTGTATTTCTGTCGCTTGTTATGGTAGAAAGTTAATGCGGTTTCGAATGGGATATGGCGGATTAATTTCAAATTGTATGTCTTCTTTGGAATGGGCTTTTCCATGCACGAAACTGTGCAGCAGAACAATGTTAAGTTTCACGCGACGTAGCCATAGAGGTTCAAGCTTTAAGAGAAGACATCTTTCCATGTCGCCTAACTCGGTGGACCAGCCAAGGATTTGCTTGGTGAATCTTCTCTATTCAAGGCAAGTGTCGCGCAGGAAAGGCAGTATAAAGAATATGCGCCTCCAATTGCAAAAACAGGTGGAAAAATTGCTCAACCAAAACTGACTAAATCCGCCCTAAACCGGGATCAAAAATTCCGAAAACGTAAAAATGGTCGAGCAGTTGGATCTAGTGTACGACACAACGACTAAGAAAAGGCGCTTTAGCAGGAATGAAATATCTACTGATATTTCAATCTTGACTATATTACGCTTTAAAAGTGTAGCCACTTTGAGATCACAAAACAAAACGAATAGTGAAACTGGATATTTCACTGTATATAATTTGAAATATCTACCGATATTTCACAATCAGTTGAGTAAAAAATACTTTCGATCACGAGCACTTCGAAAATTCAAACCAGGTGCTAACTTACCGCAGGTGAATGCACACTCGTGAGTATTTAGTCTCTGGGCTGATGATGCACACGAATTCGTACGTCTAACAACGGACGAAGTAACGAACCAAAGCAGAAAGACTGATATCACGAAACCTCAACGAAGGTTGTATTGTAATGAGCTGGAGGGCAGAGAGAGAAGCATACAGGTAAGTAAGCGTGCAGAATGTGAAAGTCAACGTACCTTGACCAACGAGGTAATGTTGGTCCGGTAAAACAACAAGGTCCGGAAGATGAAAAAGGTACATGAGCAGAAAGGGTTGACACTGTCACCACAGAGCTCCCTCCCTAGAAGGCTAAGAAGAGCCTTCGATAAATGTGCTTGTGGGTGCAGTCATTTTAACTTTTGAAAATCGAGTAGTTGAAGCAAATGTCTAGTAGTCCGGTTGATGTGCAGATATCGGAACAAATAGATGTCTGTAGTCCGTCGAGGTTTTGCTACTTGCCCCTTTTTTAAACAAAAAAACGAATGTGCTGAAAATGGGTACGTCACAGCTGGGTACGAACTAGTAAATTACTGACCGGGGCTGTCAGACAAAGGTTTTAGAAACCCTCCAGATGCTGTATCGGTGGGTTAGTTGGGGGTGAGGGAGGGGATGCAATTGAAGTTCTCCTGTTGATAATGATTCCCCATGTGGTCGGTTTGTGTTCTCTTCTCCCCAAATTGTGTTTCTGGAACAGAAAAAAGAACTTCGAAGCAGCTTTTGTTGGAGCTGATCGGTAACAGTGAACACAAATACTAAGAATGAATGAGAGAGAAAAATGGTTGTTGTTTTGTCTAGGTTGTTTTGTTTGTTCTTGTTTTTTATGCAAAAAAGGGTTATGAGATACAAGTTATAAGTTAAACATGAAGGATCAGTTAAGGTGGATAAAAACTACTTGGGAAAGTGCTATATCAACACTGAAAAAGAACCGGTTGACGGACTTCACGACCGCGATGATCGTGCATCATCAGTATCGATGGTGGTGTTGAGGGTTGGTTCTCCGTAGGCCTGGTTAGCATGGGGTCTACCGACGGAGGATCTACAGCTTCCGTAGGTGTTTTACAAGTGGTGTCAGTTTCTAAAAAGCGCCGGTTTTAGTCGGTCTAAACTAACGGACTCCTTTGTACCGTTAACTTTTATTACGGCGTACTTGTCTTTATGCATGATAATCTTGTGCGGACCGGTGTATGGTGCCTGCAGAGGTGTGCGGATGCTATCTACGGGAAGATAAAAGTACGTGCAACGCATAAGATCCTTCGGTACGTAAACGAGTACTGTTTGCTGCCGTGTGGCAGCAGCGTGTACCTCATACATGTGATGCGTGGGTCGTTGTGTAAAATCGGAGAAGTTAAAGGTACGTTAGGGCTTGGGTGAAACGAATTCACCCGGAAGACGTAACGTGCAGCCTAGGGCTAGTGCAGCCGGTGTAGTGCGCAAGCCGGCTTTTATCGCATTCTCAATGCCCAACAGGACAAGCGGAAGAGTCATTCTAAACCGGGATGAGCCTTGAGGGCTGGTTTGAGTTGTCTATGAAAACGCTCAACCAGGCCGTTGGCAGCTGGATGATATGCGGTTGTGCGAGCGTGTTTACCCCCTAAAATAGTGAGAAGAGCTTTAAAGGACCCTTCGAAATGTGAACCTCTGTCGAAAGTGACGGTCACCGGGTAGCCGTACGTTGCTACCCAACGCTCCAAAAATGCCTTAGCTGTCGTTTCGGATGAGCAACTAGGAAGTGGGACTGCTTTGACCAACGGGAGAAACGGTCAACGCAAGTCAGTAGATAGGTGAAACCTCCTGACGACGGTAGTGGGCCAACTAAATCG